TTTTTTATTTGAAATCCCCTTCGTCAAAGTAAAGAAGTTGAGGAGGCTTTAAAGAAAACGTAAGCATTCAGGAATTGCATATTGCACATCGAGCTTTCCAAATGTTATAATAATCGGCAACATAAAATACCGATCGCATCAAACTTTTCCCATAATAAAGAATCATAGGTGAATGAACATTGTTAGAATTTCAGTTTCCTCCAAGGCTTGTAATAAATTCCAAAATAGAGTAAAGTTGATCGCATCAAATCCAAATGCCCGTATAAAATGCAAGCATAAGCTTGGTGCCAAAAAAAATCTGTAAATCATACTATAGATGAGGCAACATCCAACTTTGGCTCGATAACAGAGAAAGTAAGACAAGCAGAATTGTTTAGAAGATGCTTATATATATGAATCTTTAATACCAGTTTCCTCCAAGGCTTGTAATAAATTCCAAAACAGAGTAAAGAAAGAACTTCTTACTCCAAATGCCCGTATAAAACGCAAGCATAAGCTTGGAGAAAATTTCTGCAACACCTCCTCGCACCAAAATTTCGGCCAACCTCCACAACCTTACCCTAGGTAGGATTTTATAGGCATAAGAGAGAGGAGCAGCCACCTACCAGCCCTAATGGTGGCCAAATAGGATTGTGGGAGAGGAGGAGAAGCATTTAGGGAGAAAGAGAAGTAGGCCTCGGGAAGATGAAGGGTCAGCCAGATGGAGTTTCGCTGTTGGAGAGCCGCCCGTCGAGCGGCCTGCGAAGAAGAGGAAGAGTCGAACGATGGGGAGCTCGCGATCGAACCAAGAGACGCGCAAGCTAGGGTTCCTCTTGGGTGTGGCCGATCGCAGGAGAGGAGAAAGCGATCCGGCTGCTGGACCGAGCGAGAGCGAGGGGAAAAGGATCGGGCTCAGTTAGACGTGACAGAGTGTGCCTGGGTCGCGAGTCTGCGCGTGAGTGGGATTAAGTAGGATTTTTTTATCATCATTATTATTATTATTATTATGTTAATATTTGAATATCTCAATTTGTGCATTTTCGCGCGTGCATGAAATCATAGCAAATTGGGTGTCTTTTCTAAGTAATTTCAACATTCTGGACGCGTTGACACGGTCTGTTTCGTCATTCGATGTCGTTTTGACGACTTCATTGATTGCATGTGATTTGCTAGTGTGCGAAGTTATGGCAATATGGGTCTCCTCCCTAGCCAAAATTGACGTCCCGGATGCGCCGACGCAGTCCATTTCGTCATCGGGGGTAGTCTGGACAAGTTCACATTTTTCACTCTGTTTAAGTTCAATTTTAGTCCGACTTTGCAAAACTTAGTGGACTTTGTGTATTTTGTGTGTGTGAGTGTGTTGATAAAGTATAAAGAGGTTTCCCTAGGGCTTGAGATCCTATTGGGAACTTGTCTTTGATTTCCCACATGTTAGTCCTTAACCACTCGACCAAACGACGATGGTTTGAGATCACCCATGCGAGACACCATAAGAGAATCAGGAAGTGGTTCGAATTTCTAAAGGGGTAGGTCCAGCTCTAGTCCTCTAAGATAGTCGATAGAAAGCCTTAGAGCTAGATCCTAGGCTCTATGAAGAGGAAGGAAAGACCTCACAAAAATGATGTCAACAGTTGTATGCAATTTTTCTTATGCTAGTTGTTATCCTACTTTCTTTATTTAAGCTTCTATTCTCAAGTAGGAAAAATAGAATATAACATAAGCCAATACATTTTAATATGAAGTATAACACTGTTTTAAAATTTGAAACAAAAAAAAAACTAAAGCCCAGATTGATAGTTATACATACCTAAAAGAGCAAGAATCTGATTTTCATATAAAGAAAGGTTGAGAAAGTTCACTGCACAACAGTTTCCCTTCTTCGACGCATAAACCTTATGAAGATTCCTGAGCTTAATACACCTATAAAATTTAAAACGTATGTTAGTGAAAAATTTTAAATAAAATGCTTTGCATGCAATACTTATGACAAAAAAGGCAAACATAGCACATTAACAATATTCGTTGCCCACAAACCGGTCATCAAGTTCTTGTTGTTTCATATCCAAGCTAATTGCTTCAAATGCATTGTCAAGACATCCATCAACAGCATAATGAGATCCTTCTGGTAACACCTCATAAGTTGGTCGATCTGTACCATCACAATGATGGAACGGAGTCTTCTTCCAAAATAATATCTTAGAAAGCAGAATTTTCCAGGAATAGCTTACTCCATTCTCTCGAGGAAGAACCTAATGGTAGAAAATTAAAGCAACAGTACCATAAATACTACAAAAAAAGTGAATGTAGCTTGAAATTATAGAACATTAACATCAAGAAAACTATAATTGAGAATAGAAGGAAAAAGACATATTACAAACTAAAATAAAATAAAAAAATTCAAAAGGAAGCAGGAATCCCTTCTGCATATCAAACTTGAAAATAGGACGACCATACAAATAATAAAGCAATCTTTTTCAAATGACAAATAAAAAACATCACTTATAAAACATAATGAGCAATATATCATCTGTCCATAGAAATGATTGACAAGGTTTTTCATTCTGGCACATTATAGTTTAAAGAGCACTAGATAACAGTGCAAACCAAACCAATATGTAACAATATCATCAGTTAGGCATAAATATACATCTTTGGATGGGCATATGCGTGTGAGTATAATTCAGTGTCGTATAAAGTTGCCAGCATAGTCTTCTAAGTTTTTTTCTCAACTTTTTTCCAGAAATGGTTGAGTCTGCAGCCATTTTCTTATTATTAATTGACATTAACCAGTCAAATTGATGAATTTTTAACTCTTACTTATACATGCAATACAGCATAAGCCTATTCTCAGCTTTTATATATCAACAATAGAAGTTACTCCAACTGTCCCTCTAATAAAATCATTCTTAATTTAGCATTCCTAATTTAGCCACGCATCCAACTCAGATCTTAACATTCTCATCTTCATCATACAACTGATCCAAATTGACTAATTTATTGTCCAATATTTGAATCCATATAACACATCTAGCACAATTCTTATTTCATAAAATTTATCTATAACTTCTCATGATATTCGCATATCACATAACACTCCAAAACATTGTTGTTAAAAGCGATCTAGCACTCAGGAGATGCACACCCAAGGCCATGGCACCTCATACTCCTCCCAAGCGAGGGCCTTTGCTATATTTAGTCTACGCTAACAGACTGAAGCATTAGTCATCAAAACAAGCATCAAGCCTTGATTTTAGAGATTGGTGGTGATGCATCAAATATCAAAAAGAAGTAAGTTTTCCATGATAATAACTCAACTTCGAATGATTTGACAAAAAATATCAAGTGATGGAGAAACAAACATATCCGTTTAAGAACAAGTTGATCAACTATACACTTAAGAATTTAAATTCATGATTAATAAAGCATGTAAATGAAGAAAATAATTCCAAAAAAAATGGAGGAAAAAGCTGGATACTCACAAACCTGGTGATAAAAAATGAGTGTGGATGATTACGAAAATAAAATAAAAAAGAATAAAGATTAGATTATCACTAGCCTATACTAGCAACAAGCTTTATTTCCATAATTATTTTTTTAGAATAATCTGCTTAGCATGATTTCTGAGTTGGAATGTAATGAAAATAAAAAATTCACTCATATACTCAATATAATTTAATATATGTGTACTCCTTAAAAATATTCTCCATAATAAAAATAAATTTCTAAATCATAAAATTATTTGCATTTAATGCCACATGAACTCAGACAAAGATCTATAATTGTGCTCAGTGATATTGGAGGTATCCCAAACAACAACGGAACAATAATATTATTGTTGAAATTCAAATAGGAACTTAAAAACAACCAACGGGAATAGAAAATAACAGCAACAAGAAGACACTAATACAACGACAGTGGTTTCCTGATGGGGCGATGACTAGATAGATGGCAGAAACGGGTTAGTTGGTAGCGGTTGGTTGTCGGAAGGTGGAAGGAAAATCGGGTTTGGATGGTATGTGGTGGCAGTAAAATGGAGACAGGATGGTTTGTGCCTGAGGGATAGGAGGGAGGCCACAGATTGGTGGTTGTGGGTTGTTGGGGCTAGGGTGAGAGGGACGGGCAGCAGGTTGACAATTATAGATGGTTGGAAAGAGGCATACGGCTAATAGGGGGAGGTTGGGACTGGGAAGGAAGATGGGAGGATGGAGGCTTGTTGGTCAGGTAGCTGCCCTGAAAAAAATGGGGAGAAGAAACCAACGATAAGTGAGGGTTGAGGTTGCAACAGGCCAAAGAAGTGAAAGGATAGCAGCGGGAGGGAGAGGGTAAAGCAAGGAACTATAGATAAATACTACCTTGTACAAGTTATAGTCGAAGCATCTTCTCGTCGTTGGTTACAACCCTCAGAGAGAAATCGGGGACGCCAAAGCTCTCTCGCTCGACAGAAACAAAATAAAACATACAATACCGAAAACACATTAGAAACAAAAATATAAGATTAGGGTTGCTTAATGAGGACCCCGCTCCAGTTGGTGGCAACATTAGACTGTCGAAGGGCTGGCTTGACCACCCGCACCCCCCTCCTTCCCCTCCCCTTTATTAAACAGGTCCAGAGAGTGTCGTTACTTCCTAAACCCATCCATTGTGAATCATCTGTGTCAGTTTCCCGAGGTTGGGGAAGCTTCGACATCATTCATCGAAGCTTCTAATTACTCCTAATATAGAGTTAAGTCTGCCACGTTGAAGGTAGCAATAATGTTGAAAATCCCTGGCAGGTCGATCCAATATGTGTTGTCATTCAGCTTCTTGAGAATTCAGAAAGGTCTGTTTGCTCATGGGTTGAGTTTCACAAACGATCCGGTTAAAATCTCTATTTCTTCAATCTGATACACATAAGGTCTCCCTCCCGAAAAGTCGCCTTCTTCTTAGTCTTGTTAGCTTGCATCTGCTGCATGGGATTTTGTTTGGTGATCTCTTCCCCAACCTCCTCGTGTAGCCTTTGAATCTCTCGTAGCCTGGCATAGAAAGAACTAGTTCAAGCCAAAGTGGAGAGGGTGGATTGTGCCTATACACAGTCTAAAAGGACGTGCACCTCGTAGTCTAATGGCTTCCCTCAACGAACATTTGGGAACACACTTGCTCCAGTGGAAAAGATAAGCATCATCTCTATGGTATGGTCCTATGGACCTCTCCCAACATTATTCCAAAATTACCCTGAAATCCTCATCTGCACCGTATAACTCCTTCACTACCTCCACTCCCACAGCTCTAGACAATAGGGACGTAATTAGTGAATGGCGATGATTCAAGGTATCTACTACTCGATTCTAACTCCTTGTCTTGTGTTTGAGCATGAACTAGAATGGCACTTAGATCTTAACCCACGAAGCAAGTCTACCCTTCAACTTGTTTTGATTATTTAAGAATCTCAGCGCCTCAAGATATGTGAAAAAAGTGAACTCGCTCGTCAGCAGGTAATGACTCCAATGGTGGAGAGTTCTCAGAACAGCATAGAACTCATTGCATAGGTCAAAGACTTTCACTTTGACTTGTTCAACACCTCACAAAAGAAGGCTATAGGGTGTCCCTCCTAACTCAACACTGCTTCTATCCCCACATTAGAGATGTCACACTCCACCTCGAATAACAAGCTGAAGTCTGGTAAACCTAACAATGGGACTTGCGTAAACTTTTCCTTCAAGGTGAAAAAAATGGACTGGGTTGCCTCTGTCCACCGAAATTTCTCTCCCTTCAAAAGCTCGATCAAGGAGTTGTAAGGATGGCTCCTGATGAACCACCTGTAAAATGAAGCTCATACCACAATTGTCTCAACTCGATACAAGATCGTGGGGGTGTCCAACTCACAATCGCTTTTATCATAGTGGTATCCATCTAAATGCCTACACCATTTATAATATAACTCAAAAAACATAAATGTATTATCATGAATTGGAACTTCTTCTGGTAGACAAATAGTTTCTCCAACCACAAAACATCGAAAACCCACATCAGATGCTACAAGTGCTCCTCCTCTGAACTATTGTAAGCAAGGATGTCTTCGTAGTAAACCACGAACTTCTTAGTGTAAACCCGAAACACCTGATTCATCAGTCTTATGAAAGAGCTAAGTGCATTGGAAAGTCCAAAAGGCATGATGCTTCACTCGTGCAACCCATCTCTGGCCTTAAAGGCAGTCTTCCGTTCATCCCCCGACCCTATTTAATCTGATGAGATTCGCTGCAAAGATCAATCTCAGAAAATACTATGGCTCCATACAAGTTATCCAGTAGATCGTCCAAGCAAGGGATAAAGAACTAGCATTTGATGGTGATCTAATTGATAGCTCGACTATCAATGCACATCCTTCACAAGCCATCCTTCATGGGTACCATCAACATGCGAACAACACACAGGCTGATAGTCCCTCTCACCAATCCCCTAGTAATGAGATCATACACTTGTTACTATAATTCCTCGTACTATGTTAGTCTCAACATTTATGCAGGCCTATTTGGCAACACTAATCCTGAGACAAGATCTATGGCATGATGGATATCAATAAGCAACGGTAAACACTCTAGTTGGTTGTTGGCCATCACCTCTTGAAACTCGGCTAAAAGTGGCTAGACCTCTCCAGTAGATCTGCCTCCTTCATTCCCTCTAAGTCAACGAAAGGACAGTGTCACTAAGGCTTCGTGAACAGACTGTAGAAAAGTGGCATGTGGGACATCAGGCTTCTCCCCTACAGGATTAGTCGCTCCTCCAATCCCCTTTCTTGGTAAGAGAACGCTGAGTTTCCCCTCCTTCGTGAACATGCAAGTGTACTTGAACCCATCATGTTGCGTTTTATGATCGAACTGTCACAATCTCCCCAATAGAATGTGACAGGCATTTATGGGCACCACATCTTGTCGTATTGTTGGTCCTCAATGAATAATCCTATCAGGCACTGTTGATCCAATCGTATCTCATTCATTTCATCAACCAGGTCATAAAATAGGATCAAGTGTTTCTTTAGCCATATCGAACTTTTTCACCATGAAAGCAGAAACTACGTTTTTAAAGCTTCCTACGTCAATAATGAGGCTGCAAAATGTCCCTCTCACCATACACGTGATGTGGAAGATATCGTGCCTCGATCATAAGTGATCCCTCTACGGTTCCATCTGCATAACTCTCCTTACAACAAGCATTTCCCCACACTCCCTGGATATGGCATTGTTCACTTTGATCTTCAACTGTTTCATCATCACTCAGGTCCTCCACAACACCCTATTCGGTGAAGGACATCATTCAACTTGTCGGGCAGCTAGTAGCAATATAGTCATATCCATGGCATCGGAAGCATTTCTAAGTTGGAACTGAACAGAGCACGCCACTCTTCTTAGGATTCTTCCAACTCTAATATGCCTTGCTAGTTCCCTATCCAGCCCTTCCGACTCAACCAAGCATGCTCCTGTTGGGGCCTCCGCAAGTAGGAGTTCTTTGAATTGAGGCGGATAACTCTGCTGCTTTGCTTTCTCTCCACTTTCTGCACTAAGGTATGCACATCCCTCTGTGTCAAATAGGTTTGTAGTTGGATTACATTACTGATGGTGGGCTTCGATCCTCCAAAATACCTGTCTATAAAGTGCTCTTTTATCTCTTTCAGTCCACATTTTAACTTGAATTGCATAAACTATGTTGTGAACTCCACTAATAGCTACTTCTGTTGCAGGTAGTGGAGTTTCATGAAAATATCTTGACAGAAGTATGATGGTAGATATTGTCCGTGTCACGTACAACTTGATTGCACCAAGCACTTCATAGAATATCACCTTAACTCTAGATAGACTGAGTTTTAAAAACAAAAAAAAATGTTCAAAAAATAGATGCAAAAACAAAGCTTGGAAAAAGAATCATTCTAATCCTGGAAATTAAAAATATGTGCATGTGCAGGCCACTCATATCATTTTTCACTTCCATCTAGATAAGGAAAGTGCACGAAATGATGAAGCCAAGTCAGGAGTGAATTGAACACATGACCGACACTTATACCAGAAAAACATAGAAGACCCACAAGAAATCATGCAAAATGCTTGTAAAGCATTTTCTGCGATTTGTAAGAAAGTCAACAAACGTGAAGGTGGATCTTCATTTTGTTTCTTTCAGAACTGAATGCATAAGGTCATCATTTTTTTTATCCGTGAACAATCCATCATTCTAATACTATTAAGGATAAAACCTTTCAATCTTCAACTACACTATCAAGAATAAAAGAAGAGTCATTCAATATTGCATTCGAGTATGTGCACTGAAAATTCTTTTCACCCGTATAATGGATCCATCACATCACATGATTGTTTAAAAGAAAATCTTAGCAGGATCGTGCTCACATGACCAAACATAAATTTAATGATTTTCGATTCATTACCTTGTCAAACAACAACCCAAGAGAAAAGTATATAATTGTATCAAGAATCATCATTAAGAGGCAGACCAAGAAATTAACTCCAGATGATGCCTACAATTTCAGGTTAAACATATTAAAATATTAGAATGTGTGAGCATAAAAGTAAAGCCCCAAAATCAAAATAGAATACCTGCCACATATTGGTCCATCGAACGCCAACATGAGCACGCTCATAGTCAGCAAAATTAACGGTACAAAGCGCAAAGGCTGCTGGTGATAGCAAAGAAGCTAAGATTTTCCATATCCTGGTAGCATCAAAACAGATTTAAACTACAGCATGTCAGCATTTCATAACACATAATCGACCAAGAAATATTAAATATTCAGGGTAAGTTACTAACATTGAAATAGCAGGATCATTTACTGAATAATAAGGAAAGAATGCACCAATAAAAGATAAAGTACCAACTGCCACAGCTGTCTTTGCTCGAGAAAAAAATGTTGAGATAAAGAAGGAAAGCATTATTGCACTTAAACTGAACAAAAAGAAGTAGATGAACACCAGTGACTTGTCACTATACATAAAAAGACTGTTCATTGTAGATGCTGTAATGATAGCGGAAGAAATTGCAAACTGCACAAATGGTAACACGTGTTAGTTAAAATATGAAGACAAAAGAAGAATTAAAAAACAGTTAGAGGATTTGAGCATTACGTTAAAATAGTTCTGCATTACAAGTGCTCATATCATGTTTCAAATAAGAAACGCTGTAATATGAGTCATAACAAAAATAGACCACATAAGCATGCAAATCCAGATGTAAACTAATTTCATTTAGATGTAGCACAATGGAATGGCAGCGTCCATTATGATTCAAAGCATAGTAGATGATATGAGTCTATCTCACTTAAGCATTGAATAAATTTTTTAATAGAGAAAATGAAGCCTGTTGTGTATCTTGTTCAAGGATTGATCTCTAAATTTTTTTATGGTATAGATAAAATTATGTTCCTCAATGAATAAAATAAATGAAGATTTCACCAAGGGAATATGAGGTGGTTAAAATTGGTAGAAGGTAAAGAAAAATCACAAAACATACAGAATATATTTGGACAGTGTAGGACCCAATGATTTATTCTGAATACGCCCAAGTCAACAATGCATGCCATGCAGCACAAAACTAAATAGCTCGAGCAGAGTCATAGCTCAATGAATGACGTAGTTAAGCTTATTGGTTCTAGCTTCCTATAATTATAGTATTTCTATCAAAAAAGACAATAACTTCAATCTCACTGTTATGTCCAAAGGATGGAGCTTATCTTAGTCAATAGCAAATAGTGCACCATAGAATACAAATCACCATAAAATCATAACGTACAATGCATCATGCACTACTTAGTGATAGCACAAAAAAATATATATATATTAATAAAAATACAGCTAAATATGAAAACCACCTGAATAAAACAAAAAACAATTTATGATAACAAAAATAACCAGATTGATGATTAGACTAGAGTTCTCAAACTCTCAAAACACAAAAAATTATAAATTTTTTTGCAAGCCTAATATTTTTTATAAATTTAAATAAACTAAATCAAATAGTGCAAAAACCTTGTGCCTTCAAATAGGAACATTCAAGCCCTTGTGCAAAAATGTTCGAATCAACAACTCTTTTTTAAAAAAAAATTGAAGCTAGAGAGCCTTGTGCGTTGAAGAAGAGTAGGGTTGTGTCACGATAAAACTTGGGGGCTCAGAACTTTCAAGAAGAGAACAGATGGTCAGATAGTGAGAACCAATTTATATCATTAAATAATAATCAACATCAGAACGAAAAAGCCACAAACAATAAAAAAAATTAATTAAGATAATTAAGAATAAATTTACCTTCCTCCAGATTGAATGTATTTTCTATAAAATATTTTCTATTCTATAAACATTCACTCTTCTATTACTCATTCTCTAATCCAAGATTAAATTGTACTAATGAAGGTACGCCAATATGAATGTCATTTTTCAATTTACATTTACTTAGACATTAACATCTCTAGCTAGTACTATAAAAAGATGAACTCTATAAGTTAAACGTGAACTTGAAATACTAATAGATCATTTATTTGCATTCTACATGTTATACCCTTTTATTATAATCAGTATAAAATAAATAAGAATTAGTATATGAATCTATGAAATTCATTTTTATATGACTAATTTAACCATTAGAACTGTATAATCATATTACACATGAAATATCAAAATATCTAAATAAATATTATTTTAACACCAGTTATGGTGCAAGTGTCACTCGCTACCTGGATGGATGCGGGCCTCCTACACGTAATCGGGAGGAACGCAGGCTCGCCTGGATCGGTTCAGTCTAAGCTTTATTGTGTTGTTGAGTGTCGGCCAACATCTGAACCCATTCATATTTATTCTATTACTATTTATTTGTGTTTTTAAGGTTCAAGGGCTAATTTTTTGAATGTTTCTATTGGGACAGCCGTCGGCATCTCCTGTGTTCACTTCCACAGTTGTATCCAATGACAAATAATACTCCTGATGTATCTCACTCTGAGGTAGTGACTATCCTCAACTTTGCCTTTGCATCCCTTCTGCTTCGATGCCACACATTCCTCCTCACTTTCAAGCTGCCACGATAGCAGACCTTTGGTAGTTCTTTCTGTAGTTTCTCACTATCCCACCATCCTCTTCATTGCCACAGATGTGACGGTCCTCTCCCTTGTTGTTACAGATGTGACGGTCCTCTCTCTTGTTGTTTATGGCACCCCTTTCCAGCCACTCCTGACCGTTCCCAGACCTTGCTACATTGCTGTTCCCAGCCTGCAGCCACCCAGAGTAGCTCCTATTTTCTGTCCAACTGCAATTTATTCCTTCCAGCCACCCTTTTCCCTCACCTCCAGCACTCCCGACCGCTCCCCCCAATCTCCTCTTGCAGGTATCTAACTGTCCAGCATTCCCCGCCGCTTCCCCGACTCCTTGAAGTTGTTTTCCCCAATGTTTCACCCTACTTGTGGGGCTGTTGCCACCCGGAACTACCTCTATTCACTGTTTACTTGCTCTCCAGCCCCAACCACATTGCTGCCGCCTAGGGCAGCAAGGACCTGCTGTTCCAATACCAACTACACCCAATTGCTCCATCTCCCCACCTTGTCGTCCCCTTTCCGGACCCCCAAACAGCCACCACCACCACCTTCAATTCACCCTAGTCATGTTTTATGGATCGTGTGTTCCTATTTTGGGTGTCTAGTTGTAAGTTCTTGTTTGATTTCAACAATAATAATTATTTTCCCTATCGTTGTTTGGTTAAACTCCAGTATGAAGTAGTCAAGAAGAAACTCTCAATTATTACTATAATTTAAAAGAAAGAGTGCTCACATCGAGCTCAAATGACCTGATTATCTTTATATTCAATCATAATTGATTCAATAAAATAACAACTAAATACCTAACATTTTTTAAATTTTTTATTCAAATTATAATTTAATTTCGCTATTTAATAACATTCTTCTCTTAATTTATTTGATTAATTAAATAATCTACCATTACATATAATTGAAACATTTCTAATTTACCTTTATAATAATTTAAACATACTATAATTTCATTCTATTTATTTAATCTTAATTATCCTTCTCTTATTTAAATATGAGTACAAACACACATTTATGCATGCATTGTATTGCTTAATTTATGTTCTTATTTCGTAACTAGATTATTACTACAGTCCTAACATTCTTATATGGAACTTCATCACAATTTAATTATTAAAGGGGAAAAATTTTTCTAATTATTATATTTAAAATTTATCGATTAAAATTTTAATAGAAAAATAAGAACACAATCCTTTAAAAAATATAATCCTAATAATCATAATAACAATAATAATTATTATTATTATTATTATTATTATTATTATTATTTACTCTCATAATGCAACTATCAAAAAATATATAATATCTTATACTAATAAAAATTATAGAAAACATAAACTTCCGAATAAAACTTTATTTAAAACAAAACCCTGACCTCACTATCAAGGTTTAACACTCAACCTCGTCTCCCGCTTGCTAGAGGTTTTTTTCGCCAATCACATTGTGCTCAATCTCGCTCTTCTTCTAGTAATGCCCTAGACCACACTTGATGGTTCCCAAACAATACTCACATGGAATTTCACCTTCTCAATACACTTCGCTCTTTCTTTTTGTCGCCCTCAACTTTTTTTTAGTTCACGAACAATGGAATTTGTCCGCTCTCTCCACAGCCTCAATCAAATGTTGTCTTTGCTCTATAACAATGCCTTCGTGATATTGGATACTCTCATCTGTGAGTCTATTTGTCTGATCAAACCTATATTCTTACGTGTGGCTCCCTCCCTCCCTCCCTCCATAGAATATCACCTTAACTAAATTCTCCCTTATTCCCCTTGCCTTCACTTCTCACTTCACTCGTTCAACTTGCACAAAGGGGTTATACCCTCTCTACATCTCTACTTAACTCAAGTGTTTTGTCCCCGTTGCTTCGTCACCCCCCCGCATTCAAAATGCTAGCATTGCTTGCAGAATTATTATTATTATTATTATTATTATTATTATAATATGAACGTGTTGACCTCATTTTGCGGTCTTTCTATTCCTCTGTAGAAGCCTAGGATCTAGTCTTAGGGCTTTTCTATCGACTATCTTAGAGGAATAGTGACGAGCCTCACCCTTTAAGAAATTCAAGCCACTTTCCGACTCTTTTGTGAGGCCCCATGTGAGCAGTTCCAAGCACTCAGACTCTTGGTTGCAAAAGCTAAAGACCGGTATGTGAAGGCCCGAAGAGAGTTCCCCTAGGATTTCAAAGCATTAGGAGACCCATTGTGACTTTCGTGCGTATTCAAGATACACGGACACCGCGATTCACAATTAACACTCCTGATGCACATCAACACGGAAATTCACATCACATGCACATTTATATAATTCATGATAAATCAAAAGTAAAAACAATCGAGCACGAATTTAAAATTTAAAGAAAATTGAATTTGACGTACTTTTTGATTTGGTTGTCGACGAAGTCGTCCAAACGACCCCGGATGACGAAACAGACCGCGTTGGCGCATCCAGAACGTCAAATTTAGCTAAGAAAGACACCCATTTTGATATAGCTTCATGCGCAAGCAGAAAATGCGCAAATTGAGAGATTTTAAATGTTAAATTCTATAAAATTAATTAATAAAAATAAATAAAAATAAATTTCTCAACCATTAACCCACGACCCTCCCCCAATCATCTCTTTCTCTCTCTCTACCAAGCCCTAGCATCGATCCTTCCCCTTCGGCCCGAGTGGAGCCCTAGTTGCGACCTCCTCTTGAAGCTTCCCCTCCACGTGAAGAAGGTTTGACCTCTTGCCCCTAACCCAACAGCTTCTACTCAGGGTCCTCCTTCCCGAAGCCTACTTTGCTTCATTCCTCTTAACAACTGGCTGTCGTTGGCCTCGGCTTCCTGTTTTGATAGGCATTAACCCTTGGAGCATGTTCCCTGAAACTTGAGTGCAGTAAGAGCCTCCCCTGCCCGATACTTTCGACTCCCTGCCAAAGCCTTCTCCCCTGTCGCCCTTGCTACAATTTTCTT